CAAGCTTGAGTGTCATCACTGTTAAAATAAGGAAACTATAAAATTGTGAATTGCGCTCATGTGTACTTGTGTAAACAAACAATATTGCGATATTGTGAAATGTTATTTACTCTCGGACACTATTAACACAGTTTATGATTCCTATTTCCTGAGCCACTTTAGAGTCTGATTTAAAGTGTTATAGGAAAAACAATGTTTAATAAAATAAAAAAGGTTTAATAAAAAGCTCAATATATATAGTGAGTTTGTGTCAAAAATATATAGTTTAATCATGTGATTAAGTCACATAACAATTTTTTAAAATCAATTTTTTGACATTTAAATAAAGTACAAAAAAGTTGCTGCCTTACATTTTATACAATGAACTTGGATGTTTAAGTCATTTCAACCTATATTACATAAACTGACTTAAATTAGTTTAACTTAAATAGTAAAATAGTAACTTATTTGATTTAAAGAGTTAAAACAAAAACATCTATTCTCGTAACTTATTGAACATATAAGTTTCCATTTCTTACTTAAATAATTCAATTTTTTTCCCCTTGAGTTTGAGCTTTTTATTTTGTTTTTATTAGGCTCTCAATGTGTACATACATGAAATCTTAATAAAAATTTAGGATTATGAATATTTAATTAAAAGAGTTTCTGCTTCCGAGACCCAAAATCAAATCAAGTGAAACTGAAAACTTAACTGAAACTCAATCAATTTTTTTATGAAAATATGAAAACATAGACATTTTAATAATAAAACATGCAATTTCATTTAAAAAATACATTATTTATATCAAATCTACTAAATTATGTGTATAATTATATTATTTAGGACTTGTGCTTGTTTAGCTTTGCAAATATTTAAGAAGGAATTTAATCTGTGTGTCTCTCTCCTGCTTAAACCCTCATCCTGTTTTCCGTGTAGCACCTGTTGATGTTTTAAAAAGTCATCATGACAGGAATGTTCCTTTACCAGTTGTTGTTCTTTGTAAGGTGTGTACGTTTCCTCATTCACACAGAACTCTGACTGTTACGGGTCAGTCTGCATGTGCAGATCAAAACTGTGTAATACTAGAGAATGTGAGTCAGACTTGTACAACAGTGTCAAGTTAAAGGCATGGAGAAACAAGTCATTAAGCTCTCTGTCCGCCATCCACGTTCCCTTGCCTCACGTGGGCCTTCTGACCTAATTTCAGGATACAAATAGGAAAATGAAAAACAAAAACAGCTGGAGTGATATTTCTACTGTAAACGCAGAACTCACATGGGCACAAAGCCAGTTAGACTATTGAAAAGCTGATCTCTGCTTCCTTATACTGTATGAGACACTGTGGATATATAAACACAGACAAACACACATTCATCATGAGAGGCTTGCATTACTAAAAACTGACTGTGTTGTGCAATCTGTCTGAGCTGCTTGCATTTGATGTATATTTGCTTATTGTATTACATAAACCACGCTAGAACCATAATGAGAAGAACAGCAAGGGGTTTTATGATTAGCGTAGGCATATTTAATGTCACTTAGGACTGCATTTGTTTTACATTTACATTATGCAAATGAAGACTCATGAAAAAGGAAGTTGAAACAGTGACTCGTTCTCATCTAAATGAAATTTTCTAAACTGAAGCTCAATATAGCTGATCGGAAAAATATATTAAAATATTAACGTTTTAAAAACATTTTAAACTTTTAAAATAAAACATTAGCAATAAAAGTATTTTTAAAAGTATTTTCCCATATTTTTATCACATTAAACCATTATGTACTGAAATTATATTCTCAAATAAACCGCATGAAAAAAAGTGATTGTAATGTAAATTAATAGCTTGTTTTCTTGTTCTTATTCTTTTTTAGGGCTGTCAAATCAATTCATCATGATTAATCGTCGCATCTAACATAAGTGTGGGTGTGAATATATATATATTAGGGCTGTCAAACAATTAATCGCATCCAAAATAAAAGTTTGGGTTTACATAATGTGGGTGCACTGTGTATAATTATTTTATATATATATAAATACACACACATGCTTGTATATATTTAAGAAATATTTTCATGTATAAATATTTTATATATAAATAATATTTTTTTCTTAAATATACATGCATGTGTGTGTATTTATATATATATATATACAAAATAATTATACACAGTGCACCCAGCCCTAATATATATATATATATATATATATATATATAATAAGCTTTTGTAAATTTTAACAGCATCCTCCTATTCTGAGTCTGAACTTTGAGTAAAAAAAATCCCACAGTTTACAAGTTTCTAACATCGATTACACTGTAATGAATTTAAAAAAAGGATTTATTTATTGCCATGCATTTGTTTTGCACACTTATTAGACCTTGTTCTCACCATTTCTGTAAAAATAACTGAATAAAAATAAGTCAGAAGTGTGGTCCACACACTACATATAATTATAGGAGGGGAAAACGGGAAGGTGAAAAACAGAAGGTGGGGGAATGTTTTTGGCTTCAGGAAGGAAACCGAGCAGGACGAGATATAGTCCATGTTTATGTTTTGAATTATATCCAAACACACAAAACCCTTTCCTCTCTTATATTAAACTTGTCTCTTTTAATCACAAGGCCTCATTGCCTTCTTTCTTTGTTATATACTCTTGTTATTAATGTACCGATACTTGCATAATGAGGAAAAAACTGTTATTAGAATTTATAGCCCAGTATCCAGACAGAGGCAAAATTTTATTGCCATGTGCATAATGTTTGCAAACAGACAATAAAATGATTGTGTTTTTAATATACGACCAATCTAGAACAGGATCGGTTTAACCAGTTTACCCAGTTTCTTTTTCACCTCACTTCCGCTAAATAATATTACATAAATCCATCTGCAAGTGCACTATATTGTACATGTATTTAAACAAATGCTAATGTTTTATAACAAGGGAAAAATATGTATGTATATGTACATTTCACTACCTTTAAGAGCTCTGCAAAAAGTATTGGACACTGCTAAACATCTACTAGAATATAATAAAAAATGAAATTTTGCCAGAATACATTTTAAACGGCTGTTAATGAATAATACTGAATACATGACACACAACTCCATGACACATCCGAAGCATATCCTGCACTACTGATTAAACATAAAGATTGATGATGGGCAGTTGTTTGTAATAGGGATTGTAAAATATGATTTTGGACAGATTGTGGAGTAAAAAAAGTCAGGTCAACAGTCGACAGGGAGTGGTGTGTGTGATCGGTGGTCATGATGACATGCTTGTTTTTGTCTGTGTGGGTGGAGGACACACTGCAGTAGGTCAAATGCTTTTGTTTAGTGTTTAGTTTTGTTTAGTTGCGTAAAACGGCCTTTTCAAAAACATATCAGCCCAAAACAAAGTTTTCTCATTAATGCAATTATCTAATCAACCAATCACATGGCAGTTGCTTCAATACATTTAGTGGTGTGGTCAAGACAATCTCCTGAACTCCAAACTGAATGTCAGAATGGAAAGAAAGGTGATTTAAGCAATTTTGAGCGTGGCATGGTTGTTGGTGCCAGACGAGCCGGTCTGAGTATTTCACAATCTGCTCAGTTACTGGGATTTTCATGCATAACCATTTCTAGGGTTTACAAAGAATGGTGTGAGAAGGGAAAAACATCCAGTATGCGGCAGTCCTGTGGGCGAAAATGCCTTGTTGATGCTAGAGGTCAGAGGAGAATGGGCCGACTGATTCAAGCTGATAGAAGAGCAACTTTGACTGAAATAACCACTCGTTACAACCGAGGTATGCAGCAAAGCTTTTGTGAAGCCACAACACGCACAACCTTGAGGCGGATGGGCTACAACCGCAGAAGACCCCACCGGGTACCACTCATCTCCACTACAAATAGGAAAAAGAGGCTACAATTTGCAAGAGCTCACCAAAATTGGACAGTTGAAGACTGGAAAAATGTTGCCTGGGTCTGATGAGTCTCGAATTCTGTTGAGACATTCAGATGGTAGAGTCAGAATTTGGCGTAAACAGAATGAGAACATGGACCCATCATGCCTTGTTACCACTGTGCAGGCTGGTGGTGGTGGTGTAATGGTGTGGGGGACGTTTTGCATTTTTTTTAATCCCTGCATCAAAATAACACTGAAGTTTCTTTTGAATAATAACTTTTAGAACAATGATAAACTCTTAAATTAGTTTATTTCATTAAATTAGTAAATTCCTATTATTGGAATTTAATAACTGAGTGACTCTACAATAAGTCCAACTTATTTCTAGGTAACAATTGTGAGTATTTTAGTTCCATTTGGGGAACTCTGAAAAATATTACAGTAGGAAAACAACTTTCACCCAGAAATTATAAGTGAATTTCACAAATAATTACAGGGAAACATAAATAACAAATTGAATTAAAAGTATGATTTTGAAGTTGAAATGCTATTTCTTGTAAAACGTATTCTAATAATTTTTATTTTACAATTTTGAAATAAAGTTCTGCATAAAAATGCAGCCGATTAGTAGGGGTCGACCGATTATCGGCGCTGATATTAAGCATTTTTAAGTTTATCGGTATCGGCCATTTTCAAAACTTTTTGCTGATAAAATAATTTTATTTTGAAATGCGCTATATTTGGCTCTAACGCAGCCACCTCTGTCAGAACTCACCGCTCTGTAGACTAGCCTTATGCCCCCGCACATCTTTTTGTCAAAACCCTTTGTTATTCTTAATTTTGACATTAATTTATAGTTTTACACTAGACATAGGCTATAATATATATATAATATACATATATATCGCTTAAAAATATCGGTTATCGGCCTATTTGATCTGTAATAATCGGTATCGGCCCTGAAAATCACATATCGGTTGACCTCTACCGATTAGTTGAGTCTATAAAGTGCATAAAGGTGTTCATTTGATGATTTTCAGAATGAATGTCAGACTCAGAAGACTCAGCTTTTTGTGTGAACAAGCAAGCAACTTGCATTTATAAAATAAATAGTTTTGTCAATTTTGTCTGCAGACCGAGCTTGCGGAGGGTGTTGCTGCAGACCTGACCATGTGTAGGAAAGCTTTAAAGCGAGCCAAAGCCCAGTGCACAGTGTTTCCGTTGTGCTACGGCACAAACACACGCAGCAGTGGCCTGATCCGTTGACCTCGCTCGGCAGTTCCAAATAAACCAGGTAACTCGAGAAGACTGTTGTCCCTCAGCTTACCATGAGCTTTCCTTGACAGGACAGGCCAGCTTCTCTCTCTCTCTCTCTCTCTCTCTCTCTCTCTCTCACTCTCTCTCTCTCTGCTGTTTTCCTACCATACTTTCACTTCATGTCCATCACCATCTCTCTCTCTCATTCCTCCCTCCCTTCAGCACTGACCTACTTTTCAACTGACCTGTTTATGCAAGCTTCCATGCGCTCCAGTCACAAAAAGGGGGACAAAGGGGAAGCCGAATCTGTATAGGACTGTGCTACTGTTTCCACTGCTGTTGTTCGGGGATCATTACCTGCTGCCCCACCTCTATACAGACACTGCAATGGTGTTTCTAACCTCACGTAACAGGTTACGACACTGACTTCAAAGAGGAGATTAGAGTCAAGTAGTTATGAGACTGCTGGCATTGGATGCATTGGCCTATTTCACTTTGCTCATTATGGCAGCACATATTTCTTTTATTGGCCATATTAACAAGCAATGTAATCCTATTTATTAACATCATATTTTGCAATATACTGTAGGCTTTAATGAAACAAAATAAATCATTTTGTTTGAAAATTGTCTAGCTACATTTTGGAGTTCAAATATATGCCGAGGATAATTTTAAAATCAAAATGTTTTGTCATGTAACTAACTAAAACTTTTTATTTTAACGTGCATATTAGCATTATATTTGTAGGCCATCATAGATTGTGAAATTCATTTAAAATTAGTACTCTGTCGTTCAAAAGTTTGGGATCAGAAAGGACAAAAGTGACAGTGAAGACATTTATAATGTGACCAAACATTTCTATTTTGAATAAATGCTGTTATTTTGAACTCTCTGTGTATTAAAGAACCCATAATTTTCACTGATTATTTAGCAGCCCAACTGTTTTCAACATTAATAATAATCAGAAATGTTTCTTGAACATTAAATGATCATATTAGAAGGATTTCTGAAGGATCATTGTAGACTGGAGCAATGATGCTGAAAATTCAGCTTTGATCACAGGAATAAATTACATTTTACAATATATTCACATAGAAAACAGTTATTTATAGGGTAATAATATTTCACAATATTGATCAAATAAATGCAGTCTTGGTGAGCAGAAGAGACTTTTAGTGTATAAAGATACAGATCTTTTCCCCAAAATAAAATCACTATATCTATATATATTCCATAGCCTTGCCTTGTCTTTCTAGTGAATACAACAGACCTTATCTGGGCCTCATTTACACAACAAGCCTTCATTGTAATGAGAGTGTTCTAGTTTTGTTTTTGCACCGCTTGTTTTAGTGTGGACCGGGTCAGGGTGTTTCCGATCAGACGGTGTGTCTCAGGAGAGATCTAAATCCCCTCAGCCCGATCCCTCATTCTCTCGCTGCCAGACTCATTATGTCAGCTCTGTGTTTGGGACCAGTCTCTCTGCTTCTGTCTGTCCTCACACACAGATTGTGTAACATTTTCCTTGTTGAAATGTAATCAGATCAAGGGCTTCAGTTTTATTTGAGGACAATGGATTCAGAGAACACAAGTTAACAAGAGCTGTTCGATTTGATACTGGCACTGTATGTTTATTTCATTTAGCTAAAGTAAACCAGGACTCGGTAGTCCATTACTGAATACAAATTACATGATGAAAATTGTGGTTAGTGACGACATTACTCATTTTACGTAATAAAATCGGACTACTTTTTGATTACTTTTAGATCCTTTGACCTAATGGTTTTGAATAGGATAATCTTCATACTGATATACAAAATACAAAAAAAAAGAAGAAAAAAAAATGTTAGATGTGTTCTCAACAACATGAAATGCATCATTGAACTTTACATTACATCAAAGTTTTAATGAAGCAACTGCTAGAAGTTTGTAAGTTGAATTAATTATGATGTAAGTAATTGATAAATTAAAATAATAATCCAAACAAAAAAAATAATAATAATTTGGTTCTTTTTTTAAATAGTAAAAATATTAAATATTTTATTTGTTTATGCTGTGTGCATGGCCTCTTAATTACATATATCATTTTAAAGTGTAATATAATCAAATTACAAGTATATAATTTTTGCTTAAATATGTATATTCATTTACATTTTTGGTGTTTTGTTTAATTTTTCTGATTTCATTAACACATTTTTAATTTAACTGATGCCTCCGAACCCTTTAAATTATTTGTCCAACCATATCTATATTAGTTATATTTACTAGTTATATTGTATTTAGTGATACAACTAATGTATATTTAGTTGCATCACACCGACCCCGGGCCGTCCTTATTAAAGCACCTGAAAATAAATCTTACATATTTTCTGAGGAGTTTGAGGGAGTTGCATAAAAATGGGAAAATCTTTTTCTTGGGAAAACAAGATTTTTCATTGATTTAGCTCAACGTGGATTTGGGTTTGGCATGGCTTGCGAGGTGTTAAACTAAAAACACTTGATAGATCTGCTGACCTGTGCATGTTCTCATCAGAGCTGTGCGCACACGAACATGAAGGCACTAGGGAAATAAGGGTTTAATTAAGTCTCTTCTACTGGTAGAGCCAATCCGAAAGGCCAAAATACAGATTGTTTCCCGTTTGACTACATTGTTTTTGTCTATGTTTATGCAGAGCTCGTCTCAAATACGCACATCGTGTTCTATATCATGTTACATTATGAGAAACTATCAATGTGCAATGTGTACTGTAGGTGTACAGTTCGCTGAACACATCTGCGCAACATCTTTAAGCAGCACATCGAGTAACTAGGTCAGAGTTACATAAGTAATGTAAGCCTGCGGGAAAGCTAGATTGATGTGTGTCAGTATGCACGATGTTCAACATCTCTGCCCTTTCGTAATGTTAAGCCAGAATATAATAGGCCATTAAATATTTCCTTTGTTTGGTAATCTCTTTCAACTTGAGTGAAATCCTGTTTAGAAAGAAAACAATTATGTAATCTGGTGTGATTCGATAAGGCTATAATTGCATGTCGTAAAATATAATGCAGTTTTGTAATTATTTAACTAAGTGGATACAGTATAAAAAAGGACAAATGCATGAATAATGCAACAACATTTTTTTATTTCATTTTTTTTGTAGAATTTTTTAAATGCACCCAAACCTAGCACTGAATATTAGTGTTTTTACAATATGCATCTATTTCAAAGCAGTGCCATGGTCTACTCAATAACAGCAAACAAGCCTTGCTCGTTACTTCCACTTTCTTTTTTGATAAAACCATAAGAAATAATAATAATAATAAAAAACATCAAACATCACTCAGTTTGAAACATACTGAAAGGACGAAGAGGGATATCGTGACATTGTGGTGAGCAATTACAAAATCACAGTAAACAGGAAGTAAAGACGCAGTTAGTGATAAAAAGGACAACACTTGGCCCCCAAAAACATTTCAAAAAGCACAATACAGTGTTGTGAGAGAAAAAAAAATATATTTTACATTTATACACAAGTGCCATAAGTTAACAGGACAGGTAGATTTATTTTGAAAAATATTTAGGGGGAGTTGTGACTGAAAAACAAAAAACTAAACAACTTTAATTAAACCTCATTTTAGCAGGAAAGCATATGCAGGGCAGCGCCTGACTAGTGAGTGAGTCAGCAAACCAGTTAAAGAGTGAAAAACTGCAGTATCAGCTAGCTTAATTGCTTAACTGGGGGCCTCAATGGCGAACGATCTGAGACATTATGCTAGTAATCATCCATTTATACTGATGTAAGCAGGGTGGAGCTTTCCTGTAAACCCCATGCTAATTACAGCAAATCATTCACGTTCATAACCAGAGAGAAAGAAATTTTGCATTACGTTTGGAACAAAAACAGTTTCATATCTATCTTTAAGTTCACTCTATAACAGGTTATGAAGCAAAATCATGTTTTACATCAGTGGATATACTAGCAAAACAATAAATAATAAGGCTACATAAAATAGGAGGTAAATGTAATTTTTAGGGTAGTTTTAAACATCTGGAAAATACATATTACGATAAACAGTGTTTCAAGACTAGACATTTCAATTAGTTATAACTGCAATAAAAACATTTTAGTATCTATTACATGGCGATTACATGAACCTGCTAATGAATCTGTAAAGGCTTTGGGGCATTTTGTAATTTTCCTATAAATGGAAAGTTTCCAAAAAAATATTTATTTGCAAATTGGTAAAGTAAAAAAAAGGAGTTTATATGAAGTGGCACTGCAAACACACCGATAATGTACAGTATTTTTTTGACAAGAATCTAATATTTTTGTTTTCTTCTCAAAATATATTCATATGTAATAATTATAAAACATTTTCTACATACAAAACAAGTGCCTGAAAAAGCAGTAGCTAGGCTGTTGAATGTGGGAAAAGAGATGGGAGCACTAGTTAGAAAAGCAGATAGAGGTATATGGAGCAGAGAGAGGTATGAAATTAAAGCCATGTTTCTTTGGTCAAGGGAACTTTCCCTGAATCTTCTGATGTTTGATATGTTTAAAAATGATGCAAATGTTCTGTTTTGTTGTGGCCAAAAACTAAGGGGCACTTGAAATTGCCTATTTACATAGAAGAATCTGTTACAATGCCTCACAAATTGTAGATATTGCTATTGAATTGAATGTACTCTTATGTTGACATCATGGTGCAGCACAGGAAATACGGGTAAGTGCGATCAATAGCTTGTCATCCTATTTAATTCTCTTATAAAAGTGCCACTGTAACCTTAAGAGGAAGTTAAACAAACAAACCAAACCAATCAGTTTCTGTCCTGATGTAGTTCTGGCAATGTCCACTTCTCTTATTCCTAGCCATACAAACAGGGAATTGGTGAAGGATAGAGGATGAAGGTAGGACCTCAAAGGGTTTATAAAATGTCTCTTGGGGGTTTATACCAAGACCCAAGTGAGTCCTACGTTTTCCCATTCAGTCAAGTCTCTTGTTGCAACTGTTACGCAAGCTGGATTCCTCCTTCCAACATTCAATGCTTCCAACTGAAGTGTCCTCCTTGTAAAACCCAGCATTCGACTGACCGCCAGATTGAGACAAGGCCAGGTAAGGGTGCTGAGGTAATAGTTGGAAATTAGCAGGTGGCGTTGTCGGTGAGTCTTGAGATGATGTGCCCTCACTTTGAGCTCTGTGCTTGAGTCTCAATTTGTGGGGTAGGGCAGTGCCTTTGATTTCTGCTTGGCCATCTTTGCACTGGCTCGGTGAAAAGGAGCTCTGGGTCATGAATATGTGAGGGTGGTAGCTGCCTGTATCAGAGCAAGAGGAAAAGGGAGACTCATCATCTGTGGAGCCCTCTTTATCAGAGGTGCGGGGATCCCCGTCACTTGAGGAAGTGTCCTTTCCTGAGTGAGCCTCATAATACTCTTCTTGTCTCAAGCTTCCTTCGTAGGTCAGCACTGGTGGCTCGTCGTTTTCCTTGGGGCTATTTGAACAGTGGTACATCTGTGTTTCATCTCCATCCTCGGGTCTCACCAGAAGATTTGGGGCGGCAGCATCAACCCTTTGTCGCTGAGCAATGTGCGCTTGCCTTTCGGCGGCCTCTGTGTAGTCATGAGGAGAGTCCAAAGTCTTCCTCTCTAGCCGTCTAGACACCTCTGCCAAGGTTTTTTCGGTTGGTTCCTCTGTAAGCTGGCTGAGGTTCTGCTCCTCTTTTGGAATCATTTCCTGAGTTTCAACAGGATACGAGGCACTGCTAGAACGGTATAAGATGACACTTCTTTGAGCAGATTGCGGGACGTCAGGACTTTCAACCGTCTCCTGGCGTTGTTGCTTCTGTTGGTTAGCTGAATAACCTTGCTCAAAAGTCCGTGGTTGAAGAACTGCTGGTAGTCTAGAATGAATGTTGAACATGAACTGTGCGGTGGTGCTGTTGACAATGTCCATCTCTAAACCCATCCCTTCCTGCTTGATGTCATACGCCATTGGCTCTGGGCTGTCCCGAGAGGAGCCATCAGACAAATCAGAGAGGGAACCTCGTGGGGAGTACTTGGTCAATTTCAAATGCCCGTCCCCTCGAACAGACTGCTCTGTTTCAGAAGAATCAGAGTTTATCATCATCTGAGAAACACTAGAGTAACCATTAGGGTAGAAGCAACTGGAGGAAGAGGATGATGATGATGAGTTCCCGCCAGAAGTTCCATTGACTGCTCCAGCAATCTGCTGACTCTTTTCCACGTAGGAGGCTGTGCTTATCAGACCAAACCTGAGCTTAAGCTGTAAAAGTTCAGTTTTTAGGCGTACATTCTCATCGTTCAGTGCCATAACTCTGTTCTCGAGGATCATGTCATTAAAGCGTCGCTTCTCCCGGGAACGCTTGGCTGCCTCGTTGTTCTTGCGTCGCTTTTCCCAGTAGGATGCATCCTTTTTCTCATCTGAGATAAATTCACGCTTGCGTCGACAGCTCATGTTGTTTGACTTTGGTTTGAGAACACGGCGAGGGTTGCTTTGAGGTGAATGGAGAAGATCGCTATAGTCTGAAAAGCTGTCTGTGCTCTCTAAGGTTTTGCTCGAACTGGAATTTGTTGAGATTTGCAAGTTCAAACTTTCCATCCTCGGCTTCACCACCGATAATGGAAATTAATGAAGAAACGGGGATGGGGGAAAGGTGGTTACAAGATTCCCTGTAGGATATCTTGACCGTTGATTGGAGAATCTTCAGCTAAGTAGCTGGATCAGCAAAGACTTTATGAGGTGTTTTAGCTTCTGAAAAGCTGAACCTCATTGATTTTGTTGATTTGAATTGCACGCAAATAGTCCTTGGTGATCAAGTGTCCAGGTTGTCCAAGAAGAGCAAGAACAGGTGCACTTTACTATGAGTCTCCTGCTTTTACTCTTTGCCACACAATGTTGGTCAAAGCCAAATGAGAGCCAATAAAGTACAGAGAAGGTGGCCAAAACGGCTTAAAAGATTCTGACCGCCTTTTTCTTTGTTTTCACTTTTGTTCCTTTATGAAACGGGCTCAATCGTGCCACAGAGATGTGTCCCAGTGCCTTGGGCGTGTTGGAGGATATAGGTCACTCGGTCTGCCCCAGCTTGCCAGCCTCTTGGGGAGGGGTGCTGCTGCTCCTAAAGCCTCCAGCTGGGTTTTCGATGAAAGGCTGCAAACATAAAAGAGATTTGTTAATTCTCGAAAGCTGAAGCAATTCGTAGTTTGCCTTTAAGCACTTAAAGAAATATTTTAATTTGTTGTAGTTTTTTATTTTAAATTCAAATCTCCACACTTCTCTGCATGGCTGGGTAATCAGAAGATTTAGAAGAGGAATGTTCAGCTGTGCCTTTGTCATTTTCTCTGGCTTCATCTACTCAACCTTGACAACCACAGAATGTTTTCTGTTGCCCAGTAACCACTGTCTGACCTACTAACCCTGGTATTGATTTGTCTGTCTGCAACCCTTGACCTTTCCTCACTGACTAGACATTGGACTCTTGTGATGCAAAGGGACCCTGGCTAAGAATGCTATCAGTGGTTATTTTGGTCAAGGAGGACCAACGGCTAAATAAAATGACCTAAAATTAGTTTCCTAGTTAAGCACTACCCTTTGTACAGAATTCCATCAAAAGAATTCCAGAATTTCATCCATGTGTTCCGCAAACATGACTACACATATGGTAACTATTAGCAATGAACACAAGATTTGTTTTAACATTTTGAAACCTTATCCCCTGTTACATCATCTTCTCAGAGGGAATCAGTGTGAGAGGTTTTGGCTCTTGAAACATTAACATAAAATGTTACAACACATCTCCTCTTGGCTGCGCAGCCCGAGGAGCCTGGTGCCCCAATGTGCAATAATTCCCAGAAACAAAATTCAAAAACATTACCACTTAATCTTTTAATGACCATGTACTAAAAGGCTTTCAAGGAGAACTTCCGAAAGAAGCACACTTGAGCTAAAAATGAGAAGAAGCCAAAAAACCTCATAACAATAATTACTATAATGGGAGATAAACCGAGGTCAGGCAAAAGGCAAGTCAGGTTTTATGATCTGGGGATTGGGAGCTTTGCAATATAGGTCAGGCCTTTCTGGAAAAATGGGGAGCCAAGGGAACATTCCATCAACATGAGTTTAGATCCAGGGGAGGTAACTGTTTCATCCATTTAAAAGTGAGCATTAATGGAAACGCAAAGTCTCCAGTGATGATTAACTCAGCAGCCAGTGGGTAATTCCACATTTGCTGCAATCCTATCATGACCTAAACTGAGCCACAACTCCCTGTTGCAGTGTCAGGATATTGTTGTTCAACTAAGTGCCTGAGTTTGCTCGGCATGGGTGCAAATATCTGGTCCCAGTATCCCAGTAAAATTGAACTCAAGACCCATTTCTAAGGCCAATGATCTCTGATAATACAAGAATAAATATAAAGTGAATATTTTTTGGGTTATGGTCTCCTCATCCCGGACATCTGAGGGAACATTACTGAACTCAAACCACTTCTGATGGCTTCAATCAACACTTTCTGGTTTATTCTGGTAATGTATAATAAATATGGCCAAAACTGTGAGGTTTCCTCCCCTAATTATTGTACGATATGAATACAATGTAAATAAATTACACTGTTAATGATATTATGTTAAACTGGTAAAGTTATGGTCATTTAGGTAAGGCGCAAAGCTAAAAGAGACTCCCTCCCTGAATGACCCACTGACCTAGAAACTGGGCAGGTAGCGAGAAACAAAAAGGCTCTTTTCCTTGTGCTCAAATATAGGTCAGGAGTGCAACAGGCATCATGAGAGAGACAAAGTTAGAAAGGTAATTGAAGTGTTTGCTAAAAATAGAAAGGCAAGGGATCGATTGAGGATAAACTAAATGAAGTTGTATGAGAAAAAAAGAATACAGGGAAAAAGGTGTTTGGATGCTTGCAGACATTTTATTGAATGCTAGCTACACAAACACAGAGGAGCTTTCCAAGACACTAACAAAAGAAAAAACTCCATCAGGGATAAGTGCCAATTTCCGAATTATCTGGGAAAACAGAAAGACTGAATCAAATGTAAACAAATGTATTAATATTGACACATTTATTCAGAGTTGTCCTATTATGTTTGTGTTATACAATGAAACACACCGTCATACTTGTGAATGAATCACTTGATTCAGTTCTTTTTATTGGTTCTGTCAAATCGACTGCTGAATCAGACTGAACTGAGCCTAATCCATGGATTCTGATCAGTCAGACAACTCACTTCTCTCACTGAATCAGTTCAGATCATTCAGAAATGCCAATACTTATTTCAGGCTTACAATGAGCAGATCACTATTACTGTTACATACATGTTTCGGATCCAACTGAAATAAATGGTAATTAAAAAAAAAAATTAAATAGAAATTGAATAATTATAAATGTAAATGTTACTGTGCATCCTTTAAGCTTGAGAAGAAGAGGCTATGAATAAAAATAGTAAGTGGATGAGTTATTTAGCCTGTCAACCACACCCACGAGTCATTAAAAATCTGTATCTCCTCGCATTATCAACAATGCAACTAATAATTGAAATCTTACATCACCAACAATCAAACCATCGTAAAGACTCTGACATGACACACCTGTCTCTGTTATTCAAAACTGCTATAATTTATCATGTGACATGATTAATTAATTACATTTCTAATAACCGACTTCACTGGATGAGGTGCAATTAGATAAACTTAAAACTGTAATGGGCCAATAAAACTCACTTTCACTCTTGCCCTATATATAGGACATGGGTTATATTTGCGCTTTCATCGGGGAAGAAATAGCATGTCTGGCCCACTGTAGACTTAACTTGGGCGAGGCCTGGAAACTATAATTCAGCTCAAATGTTTCATGTGTTGCTTTACAGCCGTTTCAGTAATGGAAATAATGGGTGAAGGCGGGGAGGTGGATTTCATTGTGGCCATGTAATTGACCCTGGGGCGGAATGTAATATTCGGCACGTGGGATGAGAGCTCTCTCTCTCTTTTTTTGTCTTTATCTTCTCCAGTAGGAGGAGGGCAGGCCTTGGACAAGCAGGAGGAGTTCCAGGCCAACTCTTTCTGTAAACACACTCATATCATACTCTATTGAAAAAAATTAAATGCTTTGACCGAGTCCATGTGTTTGAGCAGTCACATGTGCTCTCTTGCCCCACAAAACTAAACAGTAATTCGCCTCTCCCTGTTAGCCACATCGGCACAATAACGGCACGCCTCCTCCCTATACCTTCCTTTCTCTTTCACTAAAAGAAATCTTGAGAAATCAATCAATTGAGTGTTTAAAGCTTAGCCTTAAAGAGGTCAATAAATTTGGTCACACTCAAACACCGTAAATCAAGAATGACACCGCACTTAACAAATATGCCTTTATGTGTAGCAATCTGAAAGATTTATTTGCACAATTTAACACTCAGAGAACTGGCACTACCAATGTTTTTTTTTTTTTTCTTTAACTTTTTTTTTTATATACCCAATTACCCAATATGCAAGATTTAGCTGCACTGATCAGTAAACTGGCTGAAGCTTTGTTCTTTGTTATGGCAGACGAGGGTAGCTTTCTCCAGGTTTATGACCTACATTCTGCGCTGGCACACAAAGCAGTTCGTCTGATGTTGCTTTAAAGACCCTGTGTTTTTGTTATTTTATTTAGACTTCCCAATTCTCTCCATTATGTAACTCTTTACACAAAGACTGCATTATGTCAGAAGAAAAAGTCATGATGTATGTCAAGCAATCTCATATCCACACATTTTAGGCGGATATGCATGCTTGCATATTTTCTTACCTATATATATATATATATATATATATATATATATATATATATGCTAGAAGCATAGATGGGGTGTCATCAGGGAAAAAAATTATTGTGACTTAACCTAATATTACTCATGTAAATTGTAGCCTACTTTATAAACATGTAATCAAAGATAAGGACCTCGGTAAATCAGTTTACATCTAGGTACAGGGAACTATCTGAAGAATAACAATAGGCTATTACAGCCTATAGGCTATACATAGCCTATACCACGCGGGGGCTTTAGGTGATCTGACTACGATCAATACAACAATAACCACAAAAGTTACGATATGCTATCGTTTGCTTACCGGCAGAAAATCAATAGGCTACATTAAACGAGAGTTTAGTGCAAGCATTGTATGTTTCCGACTTGTATATGGACATTTACATTTTACATGCAAGAAAGTTACATTTGGTTGCCAACTGGTTTGCTCCTGTCTGACTCTGAATACCAGGAAAGAGTTAACAGGTCTGAATCCTCTAACGTAAACACCCGCGTTAACCTTTACCGAGCACGGCTACACGTGACAGCGAGAAGTGTGTCCGGGATTTTCCTCACAAACCGCCGCATTAACCTCCTAACCCAATTGGATTGAACACTTTCATTAAGATGTCATTGTCGAACGTTATTCATTCATTATTCATTATTCATTGATGTAGGCTATTTCCAGCGATGTAGCTTAATGCAATTATGTTTGTTGGCGTTTGATTAAAGTCATAAGCGGTGCGCCCAGTTTAACTAACTGTAGCATATGTCTAACTTTAAAGTGCTTCTGTTTGCTTTTCATTTATTTTTTTTTTTAAATAAACGGACCAATAATAAAATAGGGTAATATCATTACTAACCATAAATAAACAATGATTCCCAAAACTTTTGTGCACGGTGAATGATCGTGCATGGGCAACATTTAAAAATGTGTTATGGGCATCAAGTGCTATAAATGTCCTGTCAACAGTGGGGTCCTGGCCTCGCCTTAACATTGCGAACACGCACACTGAGCAACATCCCAATCTGTAACGAGCATGCGTAAACACACTAAACATAAACTAATGAATTCATCTGGGTGTGAGCTGCATTAAAAATATATTTCTCTGATTATTTCCAGTCATCTAATTCCATAGCCGCGTAAAATTACCGCAAGATCACGCAGAAGCATCAGCCATGCAGTTGTAAACACACAGCGTGCGCGCATCTAAAGTAGTAAAGCAAACGTACCTTTTGTGGGTTTTGTGTGTGTATCCAAATATTTGGGGCCAGGTGGTTATTATTAGTCTCTTTGTATCAGCCTCAAAGACTTGAATGGAAAGGCGAGGTGTCCACACACACGCACTACACGCCGCGTCCTGAACGCATGGATTCCGCAGCCCGTGTGTTTTTGCTCTGCTTCCTTCTTGTGTTGTGTTGGCGAGTTGCTCAGTATCCTGCCGCTAGCTGCTTCTGTTTAGAAATGTATGTTAGTAGGTCAGCGGTTGCATAACAGGACGCTTCGGGTGCCTCGTCACGTTTTGTTTCTCTCGTTTACCCCCACCTCCGTCCCTCCCTCATCCATCCGAAAGCCTGTGAGTGCATAACTGGGAGGGATCAGGCAGTCCGCCCGACCTACTCTCGGATATAGGACGGTGTGATATTCCTAATACGATTGACATATAGGCCAGGAAGCATGTAGCTGTTAAATAAGGTTGCATGTAACTGTTAAATATGGTTGCATGCAACTTTCCGCTTCCACTATTAAATAAGTTAAAAATGTAATCGGGAAATTGCACAACACTCTCCTTCACATTTATAATTGTGATTTTTTTTTTTTTTCTCTCTCTCTCCAGATTTTTTAAAAAGTAGTTACTAAACAAATACAAGAATATGCAATTTCATTGACCCAATTTCCCAAAAACTGAACAGCTGATTTTATTTAGCTGGGTGAATCCAGAGACAGCCTATTTTAGGATAAATAATTTAACACCATGTTAAGAAATGTCTGGGTCAAATTTTACCACAAGGTCATTAGAATTTTTTTTTAAAGATATTTTGTCACATTTTTTAAGGACAATTTTGCCCTAAATTATTACCCACAATTGCTGTAATGCATCCTGACCTTTTAATATTGTATATAAAGTAAAATATTATTTCCATTGCTAATTTCTCACTACTTTATTACAGCATTTTAGCAATAAAACAAATTATTTTACCACAATTTCCACTTTACAGATTTTTTGAAACATTAAGATACTGAGAATATTAAAATGAGAATCTTTTTTTTTTCTTCTTATTTTTGGGGGGAATATGATAATGATTTAAAAAAAAAAACAAAAAAACAAACAAAAAAAAACATTTATTAAGCTTTTATTATTTTAGGACTGGCCAGGAAAGTGTTGCCTCATTTTTCCAAAACTCTGAATCCACCTCATGCTCATGATTTTTATTTTTATTTTTTTCTCACTGATGGAGGTCACAAAAACAATAGTGTTGTAACCATGACCTTGAACTTGTCCCACTGTCCCCTCCCCCCCATACCTTCCTGCCTTCATCCCCCAATCTCACCCCTCCCAGCATGGTCTGGAGGAGGTTTCCATGGCAACCGTCACGCTACCCCCTAACGCCAGGCCCAGCCTCCCTTTGACTGGCAGAGTGATGAAGATCAGCCAGTCAGGGATCAGTGGATTAGTGGAACAGGGCTGTCCAGGAGGGGAAATTAACTGGGAAGCAGGGATATTTGAACGTGAAGAAGGCTCATAAACACTGAAGCTCAAGAAAAGCTTTATCTCAGTCCAGCTCCTTAAATAGACTCTCACAGCTATTTATATCTTCTTACGTCACCACAAAGGTCTCAGAGGAGCTCTATGCTGAGGGGATTTGGGTATATTTGGTGTCAGGTGTTTATTCTTAGAGTAAAGGAAGTACAGGGAAATGTCAAGGTGTAATTTGACCTTGAATCAGGTGATGTTGTACAAATCTGCGTGTGTCATTTAGTTCGTTTAATACCTGCATGTAAGTGCGTAAGCGCTGACTGGAAATACAAAATGATTTGCTGACCTCTTGTGGATTGTGCTAAAGTTGCAACAACAAATATGTGATGCATTATAGATCTGTAAAATATATACTGTATATTGAAAAATAAGAGTTACAGAAGAAAATATATATAATTGAATTATAGACAAATATATTTGTTGCTTTGGATTTGCTGTAAATACGATTTGTTTCATTTTTATTTAGGAAGCCGTGAATTCTTTATTTTATTTATATATATATATACCCCTTTAATTGTTGTGCATGCTTAATTTTTACAGGTCATTTAACCAAACAATCTTTTAAGAAATATCTTGAACTTATCTCAATCCACAGCACATGTACAATATATATGTATTGAATAAGGAACTGTGAATGTGTTTAAAAGACTTTCTCACGAACAACATCTGAGCTGGTGTATTGAGACATCTAAGATGTCATTGCCTCCAGGGCTTTGCTTATTACTGTTAAATCTTGGTGAATACCAAACCGAGGTGATAGTCTTTGAGTATTGCTTATGTGTGCATGTCAAAACCTGTTCATCTGGCTAATTTGACTTATTCAGAGACAGTTCTCATAATCGAGAAGAATTTGATGTTTCAAAAGACCATGTCTTGAGGGACAAATAACAGTGCTTTCACAAGTAAATCACACACAACATTATAAACCATTATTACACAATTTAAGCCTGATGAATCATTGTCATCCGGGAATATGGCATGATGTGTCTTCCTACATGAAGGAAGTTTAAGAAATGAAAAGCTACACCCTCCATCAATAAGGGTTGGAAGAGCTGTTGCCAAATATATGACATGCTAGAAACACATTAATCAGTGCAATAATGATCTAATCATTTGCCTATTTAAAATCCAAACACCACACTGTTTTGTGTACAGTGTACGTTGGCTGTGTGTATGTATGTATGTATGTGTGTGTATAAATATATATATATATATATATTTATCGACCACGTAGAAGTTTATATATTAAGCTAATCATATTTAATAACAGATGCACAAGAGAACAGTTCAAATATTTATTGACACAAACATATAATGTATATTTACCATACAAATACACAAGAACTCACAAGACAACAGAAATTTCACCATCAAAACACAAGTAACAGTGCAGTTCAAATGATAATATCCTCATCTGGACAACCGCAGATAAGTGATCTGTATGAAAAAAAAATCGAAATGATGCAGTCATTCAGTGCTAATTTGCTACTGGATCATGATGACGATGACAATAAACAATTGATTCCACTAATTGTCTCTTCATGGTGTTTCCCGTTCTGCTTCAATCAGGATACGTGTTGCAAAACCAAAAAGTTTCTTACACTTCATTCATCAGCCCACAGCAATCACCGTATAAGAGGAACATTACAGTGTGAAGACCATCACGGCTCACGGTGTATCACGTCTCACCGACTGACAGGTGATTAAGTAGTGTTGGCACATAATGAAGGAATGACGTTACGACGGAGGAAGCTGTGCTTCATTTTACACGTACAGTTCTTTGTGCAGACATTGTTTTACTGCCTGAGGTGTTTTTGAGCAAGATCACAGTGTTTGAGGCAAAAGGAGGAACTGAGCGAATTAAGGTGAGGTGTTGTAGCCGGCGTGTCCCGATGCCACCGGAATGCTCTTGCACGGTCCTGAATGAGAGTTGAAGGAAAAAAATCATTATCCACTTTATTTTTAACGTAAAAACGGGTGCGGCCATTTGTAACCTGAATGTGCGAGGTTTCCGTTGTCATTCACAGTTGCGTTGCTTGTTTTTTGTACTTATGAATCTTCTATTTATTTACCTAGTGGCTAATGAATCCGAAATTTCACACATACATGAAAAATAGCTCTCAAAATAAGTTGGATATGCAAGGTCCGTTTGGTTATGACCGAGTGTGAAGAGGTAGTGATGCACATGGCGCTTTCTTTCGGTTTTTGATCAACGGATGTTCATTGTTCATGACTTCGACTGAGAATGTTTGCAACGTTCCAGTTTGCTCAAACTTTTCCAGTGTCTTAATTAGTTTTGGTGAGCAATTGCTCGGAAAAGAGCTTTTTGAGTTGGGCCACCTCCTCGCTGAGAGAGCTGAGCTGAGATTTGAGCATGCTGTTTTCCACCTGGTACTGCGATTCGTTGGGGTTCGTGTTGTGGCTGTAATTTCTGTGCTGCTGTGGCAGTGCTGTGACTTTTCGGGTGTCTTCCCCCTCCTGCTGTGTCCAGTAAGCCGCTCCTTCGCTTGTACCCGAAAGGCTGTGAACTCTGGGCAGCACGGGACTTTGCCGTTCCCCAAGATTGTCGTATTCGCCGCCGCACGGAGACTTGAACCTCAGCTTGTGCGGAAGGCTCTTCAAACTATCCATCGACTCCATCCGGTTGGATGACATGGGCGCGTGTCCCATTGTTAAAACATCCGTTGGAGAGTGATGGGACTCATAGCCGAGCTCATCTGCTTGATGCGGGGACAACTTTCCATGGTCGCTCAGTCTGTCCTCAAAGAAGACGGGACTACCGACACTGGACCCACTAGGCGTGGAGAAACCCGAATCTTCTGACATACTGTTTGAATCTCTGATGCTTCGCCCAGATTGTGGCCCGCTTTGAGCGTTGGACAACATTGGACCCGCATGGTGAGCGCCACCATCCCCACGTGGAAGGTAGTAATGCGGCGCTGAAGGATGTGGGACGCAGGTTCCTGTCGTGAGCGGAAGTATGGAAGCATTCGAGGGATCTTTAATGAGGCCGAAGCGAAATTTCAGTGCGAGCAGTTCTGCTCGTAACCTGGCGTTCTCCTCAAGCAAACCCAGCACGCGGTTTTCCAGCACCATGTCATTGACGCGCCGTTTCTCGCGAGAACGCTTCGCGGCTTCGTTGTTTTTCTTGCGCTTGTCCCAGTAGCCCTCGTCCTTCTTCTCATGAGGAATGAACTCGCGCTTGCGTCTCGCAGAGTTGGCGCTGGCTGAAGCGGCATCTTCGCGTTTGAGGGCCGACGTCCGGCCCAGAAGCGAGCGTGCGAGCAAACTGCTGGACGTCAGGATGGACACGGCTTCATCAGTGAAAGACATTGTGCTGCTGGGAGAGGCCACATTTAACCCCATCAACCCTGTGCTGGTGGAGGGTTCAACAGCCTTCAAAACTCCAGCGTTCTGCTCTCTCATCTCCTGAGATGACTCTTCATACATTTCAAAGTTATTTATTTTTCTCAATTGCAGTGTTAAAAGTCTCTGTTGTGTCTCTGAGCGTGTGGTTTAATCAATCAGGTCAATTTCAGATGTTATTGACACAGCAGTGGCTCCACCTGGTGGCAGAAAGAACACAAGAACAGTTACGTAAGATCAGTTACAACACAATGTTATGTAACTTCATTACCTCCCAGTGGCAAAGCACAGCTACACCACATAATATATCAGGTTAACAACTGTACAGTTATATAGCCATCTTTCTCAAAGTGATGCAACCAATAAACATTCTCACATCACGTTAGGCATCGCACTCAAATTTCTTTACATAAAGCAGTAT